CCCTCCTCCTCCTCCTTCGCCCAGCCCCCTGCCTTTCTTTAAAAAACATGTTGACAAGAGGTAGATTGCTCGCGCGGAAAAAGCGAGGAAGAGAGACGGTCTCCGTGCTTCTTCTCCCGGTCTCTCTCTCTCTCTCTCTCTCTCTCTCTCATAACGCGCGGGTCGCGGTCGTTACTGCACACGGTTAGTTTGTCGCTTTGTGCGAACTTCCGGACGGATATCACGAGCGAGCGTTCGCGTTACCTGTGCGCTGCTGCTGCACCCTCTCGATCGGCGCCAAGAGCATCGCCGCGCGCGGGATTCGATCGAACGTGGGGCCGACGCCTGGCATTCGGAACAGAGACCCCCGGGAATAATAGCGCGCGAACTGGGAGTTGAGAATGAATAGACAAGCCATATGAAGGGACGCTCTCTCGTTGGGGTCGATTGCGAGAAGTATGAAAGATATGCCCGATCGGCACGTTAGAACGCGTTGAACTTGTTCCTCGTTCGTTCGTTCGTTCGCCAGGATATTTCTCCCTTTGATCGAGCTCAGTCTCTCTGCTGATTCGCGGGACTTTCTTCCTCTCGCGGAGCGAAGAATGCGATACAAACTTCCTTTGACGAAGGAAGGAGACACCGACTTCGATTTGCCTATCTGGCGGAGAATTCGCGGAATTTGCATAATAAGAGCTCGTTCGGCGGAATGAACGAGGCCTGACGACTGAGACTCGACAACGTAAACGATTGGCGCTTTGAACCATTAGTGACACATCGGCAGCGGGGGAAAAAGTAAACCGTTGAACGTTGGAGGAGTTTAGCCCGGTAATGCACTTGGTTTGGCCGTCGTAAAAAAATTGTAAAGCTCCTCTTGACGCGATTTAAATGCCACGCCGGCGCGGCGCAACCACCGTCGTCCGCTCCGGTCCGCGGCTCAAAGTGTTGAGCTACGTGCTCGGGAAAAAGTGCCGCCTTATTCCCGCGGCGATTCATTCCCGCGCGTGCAAATTACGAGGTTTTACAGCGTTCTGATCGCGGCCCCGTCGGGGCAGGATAAGGGAGCCACAGGGATGTATATCGCTACGCGCTTTGAAGTCTGAGAAGGTCGGCTGATCGATGGCTCCTAGGTAGACTGCTGCGCCCCATGAAGCGTAACGGGCCGTCGGGATCGAATCGGCTCGACGACGATAATTGTTTCCAAACGTACGTAATCTCTTCGCCCTCACTCTCCGCGCGAAATCCTGCCGATCCGATCGTCGCCGTGTTGATTCGATTTCCCGTCGCGCCAAATAGCTCCTTCCTTCCTTCCTTCCTTCCTTCCTTCCTTCCTTCCTTCCTCCCTTCCTTCCTTCCGGTGAGAAGCCCTCTCTTTCTTTCCCTTTCCTCCTTGTCCTCCTCTTTTCCAGCTACGCATCCACCCAATAAGCCCGTCACCCGCGTTGCACCTGGACGACCATGCGCGCTCTCCTCGCTCTTCTTTTCTCTCCCAACGGCATCGGTCAAATTCGATTTTCCTTTTACATCCAGTCAAGCCATTCGGAATAGCGATCAGTTCTACCGTCGGGGAAGGACCTCAGACAGAGCTCGGGCTGGCTGGCTGGCTGGCTGGCTGGCTGGTTGGTTGACTGACTCCCTCCTCCGCTTTCGGTCTCTTTCTCGTATACTTCGCGCACCCTCGTTCTCCCTATTGCCGTCTTTCCCTATCCATCAGCTCTTTACTACTCTCTCTCTCTCTCTCTCGCGCGCGCGCGCTTTCTCCACAGCGGCGGGCTATTCGAGAGCGAAGTGGTAAACTAGATAGGGCTACGGATAGGAACGGAATAGAGGCAGAACCGGGTCACAGCTAGCCAATCCTCTCTGTAAGGCATCGCCAATCTAGCCGCCAGTCACACGTATGCACGCATATACACGCGCGCGCATTGCACGCGAGGGCTTCGCTACGCAGTCCTCGGCTCAGCCTCGGAATCCGCTGACGATTTTCCGCCGCTCCCGCGCGCCCTCCCCTCCTATTTTCCTCTCGTACGCGAGATTCCTGATTAATTCGCGAATTTCTCACGCTTCATATATCATCTTCGCAATTTCCGCGTAATCCCGTGTTCCATTCCCCGCGTTTGTTCATTATTCTTGCTTACGCTGTGCATCACACTTCGCACTCGTGAGAATGGTTACCTGTCGTGATCCCGCCGACCGTAGGAAGCACCCGAGTTGGCTTCCAGAATAATTCTTCATCTGTACAATTATTTACTAGTTTTACATGAATTCCCCATCTCTCTCTCTCTCTCTCTCTCTTTCTCTCTCTCTCTCTCTCTCTCCCTCTCTCTCTCTCTCTCCCTCTCTCTCTCTCTCTCTTTCCGTCTTTCTCCTCCTCATCTTCCTCCCATCTCTCCCTGTCTCTCCCGCCCCCCTAGTTTCCCCTCCTCTCTTCCTTCTCTTTCTCTCGCCCCCATTGAGTTGTTAAGAGAAAATCTTTTGTATCATAAAATCGACTACTTTACTTTTAATCTCGAGCTCGCTTCTACGGCAACGCGTCTACTTGTTACATTTATTATTAAACTTAGCTGCCGCTTCCCCGCATTTCCGCTCCGACTCCTCTTCTCCCCGCCGCGCCGGCGGAATGGAGGTCTATTTATCTTGCGAGGAATGTCCTCGGAGCGGAAAGTAACAGTGCGTCAAAAGAAATCGCATTAAAACACAACTGGGTCATCGATACATAATCACGAAACGTAAACCGTCTCCCTTGTTACTCTCTCTCTCTCTCTCTCTCTCTCTCTCTCTCTCTTCCTCCTCACTTCCTTCCGAGACAGTTGTTCCACCCCCCCCCTCCTCGGCTCTTGTACGCGTCTTTCGCCTTCTCGCTCATTCCACGGCGCATCTTCCTCGGGAGAATTCCGTGTGAGTGAGCCTTGTAAGAAACTCGTGGACCGACAAGGCGCCGCGCCGCGTGTATATACACATGTATATACACGAGCGGCGTCCCGAGTGTCTCGCAAAGTGGAAATTTTCAGTGACGTCGATCCACGGCTACATAATGCCGTGCGCCCCGCGCATCAAATCCCCGTCTGGAGGGGTTCGCGCGCTCCGACTACTCCGAACGTGCAACTTGCACGGCTTCGCGCGCCCGCTTCGTGTATCCCGGACTGTTCCGAGCCGACGGGATCGGTCGTTCAAATCGCTCAGCTACGCCGGCACAGCGTGAAACGGCACGTTCTTGATGTTCCTCGTGTGACGAAATATTTAGGAATAAAAGCCGTAATTGAGAGGGAGGCAGGACAACGGTACTTGGGCTCTCGCGCGTCGCGGCGCTCGTTGTTATTTCGTAGCGATTCCAGAGGTACGCAAGAAAATATTCTCGCGTGAAATCGGGGTTGATAAATTATCGATGGGATGGGATGGGATGGGACTGCTTTGTAAATTGCAACAGAGACACGCGTATATGTTTGAATGCGTTGCGACGTCGGGGAGTCGTCAGTCCGCTGTAATACAGCGCTCACAGCGTATCGGACGCTGGAATTTCGCGAGATAGTCGTTCGTTATTTTCGTCGCAACGTCAATCTGAATTCGTGCCGCTCTGTGGCTGACCGCCGAACGCATCCCGACGCTTTCGCGCTCCCGTCTGCGAAACAATGTTGAGTGTCGCGCGAATGGTAACGCGAGAAACACTCTTTTGCGCGCCGTTCATTGTGACTTTACGGCAGCATTGTCCGCGTTTTCGAGGATGGTTCTCGGTAACAACGAGATCGCGACGCGGAAAGCCGCGAGCTCGATTCGTGATTAATTGAGCTACTAGACGCAGAAACAGCACAGTTCATCGAGTCCACTGGGATGATGACACGCGTAATCATCGCAAGGTGTGTTCGCAAGGTGAATTTCGCGGCAACCGTTTGTACGCAAATTGTTATCTTCGAGCGTTAGAGTTTCTTCTCTCGAAATATCAACGACGAGGGTAACTTCTGAGACAGGAAGAGAGCGAGGAAGAAAGTGACGTAAAATCTGACCGACACGTCAATTCTGGCGGTATCTTTCTCAACGTGACTTTTACACAAATACCGAAGTCCACCGTCACTTGTTCCACGGTCGTAACATTGTCCCGCTGTGTCATCCCATCGCTATCAAATCGAAAGTCGTGCCGCGCTGCGCGCGGACAATCGCGTGACGAAAGGACAGTCCGCGAATTGACACGGCAATAAAAGTAACTGAGTGCGGCAATCGCGCGAAACGGCGGTATACTGCTCGCAAAGTTCCGTCGAAATGGCAGTCGCATCGCCATAAATCTACCATGCAGATCCACCGCCGCGATACCCAACGTAAGTGGAGTAGCCGGCCGCTCCGTGTAGCAACTCCATACCGTTACAAGTCGCCGCGATGGCCGCGTCGAAAACGTACGAGCGCCGTGAAATTGAAAAAATTGATTAATTCCGTCCGCGCAGAAGAGTGGGCTGAGTGAGGAGAGCTGAGGGGGAGCGGGAGTTTGAATTACTACCGCGGATCGGACGGTGCTGTATATTTTGACCGCGTGTCCACACGCGCACACAGTCGCACCTGTACGCGACGTGTTTCGATGGTGAAGTCCGCGTCATAAACTTCACAAGCGTACTTCTGAGCAAATTCGCGGCAAACTTCCCCTTGGCAAAAATTTCGAGCGAACGATAATTACGGAGTTATCGGACGGTAAAAAATGAAGTTTCAGTACGGATTAAACTCGTTAAGCGCACGTGATCGAAACAAATATATTTTAATTAACTGCAGCAATTTATATATATATATATATATATACATATAAATTCCGCGGGTCCGATTTTCGTCAATTAAAGAAAAAAAAAAGAAATAAAAGGAGCTAAGAATATAATTTTGCGTTTAATTTTCATTAATTTTGCAGACCTTAAGAAAAGTGTGAGTTTTCCTATATACATTTTATATATAATTCAAAAAAATTTCAGATTATATGTATACATGTGTGTATGTATTTATATGTACTACATATTATATTATAAATTTTGATTACACATATTTTATACGTGCAGGTGCTGCATTTCTTCAGAAGCTACTTCCAAATTCCATCAGGCTCAAGAACAAAATATCTCTTCGTATCAGCGGAACCGATGGCGATTTTTACAGCGTGAGGAAATTTGTAACTTTAAAATTTGCAATTACAGAGAGCATGAGTAGCTCAATTTTATAATATTATTCAAGTCAATTTATTCTTCGCATATTATAATCTCCTGATACAAATCTGTGAAAATTAAAATTTTCCATTTTCTCGATTTGAAGCTTTTATTGAGCTTCCTCGTACAAATAACTCAGAGGTCTCATAAATAATAAAATGGACTTGAATTAAAAACGCGACAAGTTATTATAACTCTAATTAATTTTTGCGTTTCCAACTGACATCCCTTTTTCCTATTTAAGTTTCCTATTTAAGTTAGCCTATTTAATGTCTATAAGAGCTCTGGACTATACGTACCTAATGAATCTCTACTAGAACATTCATGATAGATTTTACATGGATATCTATCATGAGTGTAAAATGAACATCCATTAAATGTCCGTTTCACCTCTAATGTAGAAGTAGATATCACTTTGAAGTTAGCAGGTCCAAATCAGCAAAATCAAACCGTACCTATTGGATTACTTAGTACCCATTTCGTTCTATTTCATTCTATTATTAATTTGCACAAGTAATTAAAATTTCCCACTCTGGACCTGGTTCCAGAAAAAAAAAACCGCGTGCTTGCCAACTTCATATGAAGCTAGCCGAACTACGACAAAAATAAAATACAAAGGAAAGTGAAAATACAAAGAATAAAATTTATATTAATTTGTACCATCAAATAAAATTTATATTTGCTTAACTTAATATTTGCATTCAATCTCGTGGAAACAAGTGTCTACTGAAGTTAATTATATTAAATCAGATCGCAACTTTCGCAGTAGATGCGAGGTAATTTGTACCACTAAAACCTATAATTACAAATTTCAATACCACTAAATTGTCTCGCATCTACTGTAAAAGTCGCGATCGAATCTGCTGATAGGAAGAGGTACTTCGCTCTTGGGTTTAATAACTTAAAGTTGAGTTCACAATGGGGACTTGCTTCTACGGAACTGAATTTTATTTGACGGTACAAATCAGTACAAATTTTTGTACTGATAAAATTTTTTATATTTTCGTCTTTGCTGCTGCTTCTTTTGCCGTCATCTTACTTACTCTATATGAAGTTAGCAGCATTACCATTTTCTCTTTTTTCTGAAACGGCACGGCTATAAATTTTTGATTAATGGTACAGATCAGCGCAAACTAAGTACTAAATAATCCAATGAGTGCGCTTTGATTTTGCCGATTTGATCCTGCTGGCTTCAGAGAGGTGTATCGCGATGTGCGCTATACATACAACGCCGTGTAGCGTCGCGCGTTCGCGCCAGTATGCCGTGGCGAACGATGCCGAGGTCACGAACGGGTGGAGTTTAACACGTCGGTCCATTGTAGCTTTCCGGTACCGACTCGCCCATTGTTCCCAGCATGGGCGTTCGCCGATATCTCTAATTAATTCACTCTCAAGCGACTGCGCTTCCGAGTCCGCATGCTATCCGCCGAAAAACAAAGCCGCGGTCGCGTAACGACCAAGTCAATGCTACGCGCGCTACTGCCGTGGACAAATTCGATTCTTTTTACATAAAACCACAAGAAAAATTGAGTTCTGCCGGGCTGATACGGTAAAATGCACGCAAATATTGACGGAGTCGAGTTCTCTTATCACGTTCGCATGAGAAAATGAATTTTCGGCGTAGAAAGAGAGAGAGAGAGAGAGAGACAAATTTTTTCCCGCGAGTTGTCCCCACCTTCATTTTCTTCTCGTGCTCTCCCTCCTCTTCCTCGTCAGCTCGGTAATTCTTCCGCTGCGATTTTCCAAGCGCACGGTCGGCTCGGCACGAGCGGTGTACGAATTAGGAAAATTGATCGAGAGCCTGGCGCGCGCGCGTGTCTGGGAGAGCTGCTGTTGCGAGTTGCGCCAGCCAGCCTTTATATATCCACGTCGGCGGAAAGACGCGGAATTGGGTTACGAGAGTAACGACGAGTTAACCCTTTATGAGGCCATTCCAACTTCGCAGTTGCACAATGGCATTGTTCTTATTTCCTACGTAGTGTCATGCGGTGCCTTCCGCGACTCGTAGGGAAACGCCGCGTCGCCGCGGTTCTGTTTTAAGGACGCGCCTGGTATTAAGGACGCGCTTATAATGTGTGTGACTCGCGGTTATAGTTCTAAATTAGCAAAGCAATAAGCAGAAGCAGTAAATCAACCAACTCCGCGGGAAGATAGAAACCGTCGCGACTACACTCGCGCTCTCTTCCAAGAAGTTTACGCGCGAGGGAGACTTTGATAGTTCACAGGGAAGAGAACACAGGGAAAATACTTGGTCGAACGAAACAATTCTCTGGTAAAACATGAACGGTGCAGAAATTTCGGCTGAAAGTTATCAGAACTCGATCGAGATTATCAAGATTATCAACTTCGACGGAATTCTGATGTTTTCAATTGCTACTCCTGAATCTTTCATTTTTCAGCCGAAAATTGATTTGTTCGATCAAACATTTCTCCTCGTGGAGACGAAGCTGTGTGGCCGAGGGAGAAATTTTTTTATTTTCCTTTTTTGAATATTACGATTTTCTCTCTCTCTCTCTCTCTCTCTCTCTCTCACGGATATTCATGACGTCTCTTAATTTCTCCCGCGAGGCGATTAACATCTCAGTTATCTCGACACGATAACGCCACATTAAATCGCGCGGCGCAGAAACTTATTCTCCCCCCCCCCCCGACTAAGCGTCGCGATCACGGTTTAAAGCAGTTGATACAGCGAACGAACGACATGGAAAGTTCGCCATTTGCGTATTCGGTGCCGCAATTGGAAATCCGGAAAAATTGCCGAGCTACGTACACGCTGGTGGATATCTCCGGCTTCTAAATTCGAGACGAGGAAATTCGAGATAAGCGCCGCGATAAAGCATCAGCGAGGAGAGAACGAGGAGAGGGCAGGGAGAGGGAGAAAGAGAGAGAGAGACCGAAACTCGAGAAGTAATAACTCCCCGAGGCGATCTCAATATTTGATTTCTATCGATGACGCAAACGGAACGGGATCCCTGATAACATCGACGCGACGCTACATTTCACCGACGTATTTCTGGAACAAACATGTCTCGCGTCGCGTATATCTCGTCGAAAAAGCAAGCACCACCCTTCGTGCGCCGATGTTACGTCGGCGGCGAAGATCCCGGGAAAATATATCGGCGTGGAAAAACACGGCTATTCTAATTGAAACCTTCGAACGGGGCGGTGGCAACCCGATGCGGCGTTTTTTGCACAACCTTCACGCTATATCGGCGCGATCCGACCTACGAACCGAGCCGTGCCGTCGAAAATACCGTCCGCTGATGGTTCAATTTGGGCACATCAGGTCTTTCCGCAGCCAAACGCGTCCGCGCGTTCTGTATCGATTTTAGCAAGACGTTTGGGAGAGAGAGAGAGAGAGAGAGAGAGAGAGAGAGAGAGGGAAAGACCAAGGGCGGCTACGATTGCCTGAATAATCGACTCATATCGTCTTACGTTTTAACCGGAACTCCTCTTCCCCTCGACCCTGCCCTACCCTGCCCTGCCCTGCCCTGCCCTGGAATCTCGAGAGGCGCGTGTATCCTCTTGCATCCCCTTGCAACCCGCTGCGTTCGCGATCGCACTCGCTCTTGGCGAGATAGACACGCCGTGCAAAAATATTATATCGAGTATCGATATCGCGATCACGCGATCAGATAAGGGCCCCGAGAGGGCCCCGCTGACTCGGTCGTTTCCCGTCGCGATGAAATCGCGACCCGCTTTTATTTTCGCGACAAAGTATTTCGATGACTCAACCGCCAGACGGACGGACATTCTCATCGGGGGGAGGGGGGGCTTCTTCTTCTTCGTCGTCGTCGTCGTCCTTATTCTCATCTTTCCTCTCTCTCTCCGTCTTTCTCTTAGTAAAGAGGAACGACACTCGAGATGATCGCGACCGCCAGGAATTCTCCTCCGGGCTTTCTCGAGGCGCAGGAGTAGATCGTCTCGGCATGAACCGGCGATTCGGACAATGTCGTGTCACGAACGCCGGCTGACCGGTGCGAGAGATCCTGCTTCCTTCGAAATTCGAGAATATCCCGACTTGCCCGACCGGCAGAAACGCTTTTTTACACAACTCGCGGCCCCGTCGCTTGTATATTTTATTTCGCACGGTGACATACATTTTTATTTGCGAGTAACACGTATCGTGAATTATTAGATTTTCAGACGATAAAAGTAGAACGACGTACGATGCTTCTGATAGATAAAACTGCCGCGACTACTGACCGAAATAATACACAGTACGCATGTTGTGCTACTTTATTTGCAACCACGGACGTGAAAATGTCCGCGTCACTCTAAGCGATATCACGCTTGTTTTTTATAAATACCTTCGTCAAATAACAGAGCGTGCTCTTTGCAGCCGAGATAGCAGATTCCTGTCGTCGCGTCATTTTTCGCCACTCCTTTGCAAATAAAAACAGCCGATCGTCGACAACTCGGTTGGATATTAATGACGCGTTTGACAACTGTGCTCCGTTACACGGAAATAAACGGCACACATGTGTGCACTATGTAAACGCGCGACAGAAAGAGCAAGAGAGACAGAGAGAGAGAGAGAGAGAGAGAGAGAGAGAGAGAGAGAAAGAAAGAGAAAGGGAGAACGAAAAAAATTACCCCGCGAATTGGTATATCGAACCAGCGAGTGTTTTTCGCTGTTAATTGGAAATCGATTATCCCAAAATACTGCTTAATACGACGTTACATAACGTGATTCGGGGGCGGGGGGATTTCGATTTACCGCAGGCGAATATTTACGAACACGTACGCCGTTTATCCACGTGGCACCGAGCAGCAGCGGCGGCGGCGGCGGCTTCGATAGCGTCGTGGTTGCAGCGGCGAATTATGCACGCGCGGCCAGACGATGAGATCGCATCGCATCGCATCGCAACGAGCCCGGCCGAAATTGATGCGCGATAATAATACGATCGGGTGGGGGAATCGAGCCCCGACGATTGTGTGTTAAGCGCTGATGTTCGATAACACGCCGCGAGATTTCGTAAAAGCGATAACGAAGTGACGGTAATAGAAGCTAATAAGCGATCGTTGGAGGGTTTGCAGCTGACGACGCGGGGCAAGAGAGGGGGAGGGCGGAAAACGCCGATCGCCGTTAAAAAAAACTGTTATTTGTTCACGCTCGCCGCGTCGCGAGGCGCGAAGATCGCTACGTTTTTCCGCGCGCAAATTCACCACGCGCCCTCCTTGCGTGCGATTAACGCAAATGTCATGAATAAATAAAAAAAGTGTCCGGGATAAAAAATATGGCAGCCGTTCAGCCGATTTACTGTCGCACGCGCACGCGCGCGCGCGCGCGCTCGTCCTTCTCCGCGAAAATAAGCGGCACGCGCGCGTCTCCGGAACGATATTTCTATTGTATTCCGCCGCGGCGGTAGACTCGTCGCGGGAAAAAGAATAAAATTTCTCCTCCGCCGACCCGCCGCTGATCCACTCGAGAATTAAAACGCCACCGAAGACTCCCAACATGTTAAAGCCCCGATTATGAAAAGCCACACACACACACACACACATATACACGCGCGCGTCTCCGCGTTGAAGCACATCGCGAGAGCACCGCGTTATCGCCGCTTTTCATCCTCGCGCGCTCTTGGCGAATTTCCACACGGACGCGAGGAAGAGAACGCGAAATCGCTCGCGCATTTCGCAATCGTCAGCTGGAGTCGCGACATTTCTCCTCTCGAGCTTTCGGACGCGAAGTTCCGCGTGCTCGAAGTGCTCGCGGATTAGCGTGAAGCACACCTCCTGCCAATCGATGGCACTGATCGCTGTGTAATGGCGACGACGGAAGCGGCTGCAGGATTCAGGACTGAGTTCTCCGCGACGTCCGCTCGTCGGCCGCCGTGAGCTTCACGTCGCGCGCGGCGCGGCTTCGGCCGGGCCGACAACCCCCCCCCCCCGTCGCGCGTAATCTCCTTTCTTTTCGGGTTAAGCTCGTGCCGAGCACCGTCGAGCGGGGCGCCCGAGCGGGGCGGCGGCCGGCTCTATCGCGCGATCTATTTCCGAGTTAATTACCGGCGAAATAAAGAAGTAGGTCGACCTGTCCTGCAATGAGCGCGGAATACCGGCGCGCGCCGGAGGAGAGCACCGCGATAACGAGCCCGCCGAATTTCATTCGAGCGTTAGCGAGAACGCTCGCGCGGCATTTTTCACGAGCGTGTGCGAGCGAGCGTAATGATTACACGCTCGCACGCCGGTAATTAACTGCGCGACCGTGCATTTAAAATCTTTACACGCGCGCTTGAAAACTGCCAAGGTTGGGCGGAGGGCGAGGAGGACGCGTGTGTATAACGTTTTCGAACCGATTCCAAATATGAGCGGCTGCCCGCGAGAGAAAACACCGGTCGGGCGCGCGCGCGCGCGCGCGCGTGAAGATCCGCGCGCGCAGTTTAATGAGGAGATTTATAGCCCGGTTGTTCCGGTTTCATCGCCTACGCGAGCATAATTAGCACGACCGCGCGCATTCGGCGGGTGTGTGTATGTGTGTGTGTGTGTGTGTGTGTGTGTGAACTCGCTTCTCCGTATATAATAAAATACCCGCCTTCCTTCTCTGTTCTTGCGGCCGCGCTTATTTTTCCTGGGCAAACACGGACGGCACCCGTTGCACTTCGCCGATGAAAGAAGTCCACCTGTGTTTCGGCGAGAGGATTAAATCGCGCGATTTATTCGCGCGTGGTAAATCTCCTTAATCTATCCCTCATCGAAATAAATCCCGTATTAATCTTTCTCTCTCACTCTCTCGGAGAACACTTTCGGAGAGAAAGCGAGAGAGCGCAAAGGTTCGGGCTGGGCAGGGAGGGAGGGAGGGAGTGTGTTTATCTCACGGACAAAAATAGCGCGAGATAAGCACGCCGAGTAAATCCTCGAGCCAGCAGTGCGCCGCAGAAGCGGCAGCAGCGCTTCGCGGGAAATTGTCCTGCGCCTTTCGAGCGGCATAAATCGCATCACCTACCGTGATCTTCAGGTCCCGCGAGTCGCATGTGTCGTATCGTCTGCTGAAACGAAGGACCGTGTGCGTCTTGTTCTCGTAACCCAGTAACAGCCGGTAGTCCTGGCTCGCATCCATCTGCGGGTCTCTGCTGGCGTCCTTCACGTGCCGGTCCTGGAAAAGGAGCGACGACTTAACGTTAAAATCCGCGCCAACAGAGCCATAAAGTGTAATGCATCGTCGCGATGCTCGAGGCGAACGTGCGCGCACACACAACACACATACACACACACACACACACATACACACACACACACACACATACAACCGCTTGCAGTCGCTCGCGCGACGCCTTTTTCCCCGAAGAGTTAGATCGACCGCGTCGCGGAGAATGCGCGCGTTGAAAAAGCGGGTTGGAGAGGATTTTTCGCGAGAGGGCGAGAGAGAAACATCCGCGCGATTGTTTATCGCTCCGCATAAATCCGCGGGCGTTTCACACAACGCGGGGTGAAATAAGAAGACACCGGCTGGGCGGACGGGATCGCGCTACCCGAATATCTCGCGAATTTTCACGCGGAGGAATAATATCGACAATATCGGACATTCCGTTATCGGAGCTTCGCAATGAATGGATTAATACCGCACTCGAAGTCGCGCTCTCCCGCACGGCGAAACATCCGTTGGAAATTCCAACAGCCGGCGGTAACGCGCCTCGCGCGAAATGTTATTCATTGCTTAACGAGTCGTGACGTGAATGTAGTCCATCAACGCTCGCGCACCGCGGCGGCGGCGGCGGCGGCGGCCGCGTCTTTTAATTCACCGCGTGTGCGGCTAAGGAAGACCTGCCTGCCTGCCTGCCTGCCTGCCTGCCTGCTTGCTTGCCTACTTGGCTTTCCTCCGACAAGCGAGGCGCTCATCGGCATCCCAAGACGAGAGGCGGAAACACGTCATCGCCGTCGTGATTATCCCGTCCTACTCGTTTTGAATTTCTCCGCGGTGCACACCGCGCCGCCGTGCCTCGTTACCGTTAGCAATTAACGACTGATTGGTCGTCGACTCCGCTACAAATGAATAGACCGCGCACCGTAATTTGCTCGATAGCATCCGCGCTCTCTCGCGTACGCCGCTTTTACGGCACGTCGTCTCTCATTCTGTTTCGCGCGCGAGCGCGAATAACGCGAAATTGGATACACCTCTCGCTGTCTCTCTCTCTCTTTCTTTCTCTCTCTCTCTCTCTCTCTCTTTCTTTCTCTCTCTCTCTCTCTCTCTCCCGCGATAATAATCGATCCTCACCCGAACGATCGTGGGACCGGCGAACGCTTTCCCATGCGTGACTACTCGCATTTACAGTTAGCCAGCAGCGTCGAGGACCAGCACCTCCTTCTCCTCCCTCCTCCACCAGCGTCAATGATACCTGCGATCTCGCATGAAACGTGAGTTACCGGCCACAAACAGGTCGACGCGCTCGACGACGCGTCCGCGCTTCGCCCTCCGCTCCGCTAATTCGCTCTATTTTCGCACCCGCTAACTCGCCGTTTAAATCGCCACGTTCTTCGAGACTGATTCGCACCGTTCAGCTAGAAGTACACACCACCTCGTCCACGGTGTTATGATGTTCGCGATTTTTTGCGCGCCGAGCCGAGCTCCACGCCGTTCGACGACTTGTTTTCCTTCTCGTATCGTCTTTTCTTGTCTCTAAATCGCGACAGCGGAAGACTACGGAACGTTTATTTTGACGTTCGATCGTCGGGTCGCTCTTCTCGGCCAGCGCGCCGTTTTCCTCTCCTCGCGTCGCGAGGATCCCTCTCGCAAGTTTCCCTCTCCGGCGCCAGGCAGGCAAAGCGTGCGTGTGCGTGTAGTAGCGGCGGCATCGCCGATGGAGCACGTCGGGGGGAATTTTATTGCACGCACATTATCGCGCAAAACTTAACACGGCGGCGCGGGCGGAGCGCGTCAGCCGGAAGGCAGCACTATCGACATCGCGCGCCGCACCGTGCAAATATTCAGCAGGCTATCATACGCCTGAGATTTTACGAGACTGCGTATACTACGTCCGCGGCATGCTCGCCTGAGAGAGATTCCGGCAGGGCTCTTAAAAAGCGCCGACGAGGCGATACGATGAGGAACTTGAGCGCACGCTGCCGTATATAACATATATCCGGATAATGAAATTGGACGGAGCGCACGGAATCGCGGACGGAATCAAAGCCCTTCGGCCTGCGCGCGATTAAAATGTTACATGCTCTCGGCTGAGAGAGCGGAACCGCGACAACAATCGGCGAGAGCTAATCTCGCGCACGTGAGCTTAATTAAGCCAACGTTCGCTCTCGGCTCTTCGTGTAACCGGTCGGCTTTTCGGTTAATGCCTCTTACTCCGACTGCTCCCGTATCACTCCGGGATCTTCCATTTCAAATATTTGTCTAGACTCTCTCTCTCTCTCTCTCTCTCTCTCTCTCTCTCTCTCTCTCTTTGACCGGACACACTTACAACTAGATTTCGTCGTTTCCCTCCGGCTTCTAACGGGACTCACGCTCGTGACTGATCACGTTCGACTCACGGCCGCGGTCTGTCCGCGTTTTTCGGACTTTAATTGATACATGCTCGATACGTTGCACTTTACCGCAGCTTTGCTCCCGTGACCTTGAAATTAGAAATTACAACGGGTCGTGCGAGACGGCGGATAATCGCGTAACGATGACTGATGAATTTCCGCCGATTATCTAACGCGACCGAGACCGCTCTTTGTTGCAAACGCCTGCGGCCTTTTTATCGCGCGCGTGCACCGCTTTTCTCCTTTTCTTCCTCTTCGCGCGCGCTATGGCCGTATTAGAATGCCACTCTGTCGTTCCCACAAAGAAACGGCAGTCGCCGGCAAAAAGCGGTGGCGCAGCGTCGCGCCCTTTTCCCTCGCCGATCGAGTTTCGCTCGTTCGCGAAGACGACCGTCGAACCGAGACGACCGCGCGCTCCCTGTCGCAAGGGAGACAAAGGGCGAGAGCTGGAGGCAAAAGTTAAGGCGAATTTACACGGTGCGCTCTCTCTCTCTCTCTCTCCTCGGCCACTGCCGGTCGAGCAGCGAAAGTGGAATGAATCGCGCAAACATTGTCCTCGTCCAGGAAAGAACAAAAACGACTCGTCCGCCGAAGACTCGCTTTCGTTTGGCCGGATCATCGCGCGGGGGAGAAAGAGAACCGGGTGCAGAAAGGGGGGGAGAGAGAGAGAGAGAGAGAGAGAGAGAGAGAGAGAGAGAGAGAGAGAGAGAGAAAGAGAGAAAGGGAGAAAGAGAAAGAGAGAAAGAGAGGGTTCGACCCCACTTCCGAGCGGAATTTGCGTAAGTCATCAGCGCGAGGGGTATCCATTCCGACTTCTCGACTGAGACGGTTCCTTTGTTGCTGTTTCGCTGCACGCAACAACAACAACGCGCAAATTGCGAGTTTCGCGCGTCTCTGTGGGAGGAGAGGATGGGCGAGCGAGAAATTGCGGGTTTCGAGACGCGGGAGAGCGGGAGAGCGGGCGAAATATCGAAACTCGCAGCCGAGAGTTTCGTAAAGTCGACGGTAGCCGCGAGAGAATCGCGAGTTCGCAGTCGACAGTCGCACTCGCGAACGCACACGCGCTCGCGTGTGCCGCTAACCGCAAGACGGTGGTTCATCGTCGCGCGGAATCTTCCCCGACATACGAGGAGGAGCCCGCTGCGCTTCGCCTCGTGCCGCGCGTCCGAGGCAGCGAAATGCCGCTTGATCGGATCGGACGCGCGCGCGATACGCCCGAGAACAAGAAGCCACTCATCCAATTCATTTTGGATGATTCATCCGGGGTAATCATCGGGAGCGAACCGTGTAAATTCGCCTTTACTTGGGCAGCTCCGAAGCGTCGTCCGGGCGTTCTTCGGCCGTCCGACCGCCAAAGACAAGTTTTTCTGCCGGGATTCCGTGCCGCCGCGCCTCGATATAATTATCGCGGCGCGGGAAGAAGCGCGCCGACGCCTCCGGGCGATACCCCAGGCCATTGTTCCATTGTCGTGGGCCGTCTCCCGCTCCCCCGCCCGTCCTGCGCTTTCCGGCCGCGGCTTTATTAAAATTTCATTTGGCCGCGAGCCGCCGTACCTGCGCGTGCTGCGTGATCGCCAGCGAGTCACGCGTGTTACGTCGCCGGCACCCTACCGCCACCTCCCCTCCCCCCTCATCTCCTCGTCGTCCCTTATCCTCCGGCCGTTTCTCTTTTTTCCTGACGGACCTTCTCACCTGGGCCACGCCACGTCGCCTTCACGCGGCCGTCGGGATGTGCGAAGGCAGGGAGGACAGAGACGACTGCACGTCGACTCGAGTTAGTCTCGAAAGGACGAGGGTGTGAGGATACCTCGGTAGCGAGGAAGCTAACGGTTAATGAGGAACGAAGGGAAATTAACTGAAAACTCAAGCCGATAGATCATTACCGACAGATTGATAATTATTAATTTATCCCCCGGAAAAACGATGGCTGTTTCGGCGAAGAATAAAACGGAAGTGGGTCTCGTTTCGTGTGGTCGACTTTACGCGAGCGTATCCTTTTGACCGTTCGCGAATTACTTATTCATATTTTCGAGCTCATGGCCGAGCCATGCGTTGCTTGGCGCTCTCCATGTTCTTTTCACGGCGCGACCGCCTGCGGACGGTATGCGGTTACTCAAAGGTGAGAGGGCCGCGTCTCTGACGAAGGATTCGGATTCTTGCGCGAGAGAAAGGGCTTCAGCGCGGCGGCGGCGACAAGGCTTTGAGCCTCGGACGAGCCGGGTATTGCTTCCAGGTTCGACGTTCTGATGAAAAATTGAGAGTGAGAGAGAGAGAGAGAGAGAGAGAGAGACGCACGCGTCTGTACTTAGACGCCTCTCGTGTCTCGCAGCCGCGGCGGGATCGAGCTGTGTACTTGATCGCGATGAAATATAACGGAGAAATGTGCTTTATCTCGGGAGAATTGCTGGATCGATCAGCGCGAACGGCGATGACACTCTGTCTGAGACTCTCTTACGCGACGATGACGGAGTATTTTTATCGAGGGCACAGGAGAGGCCGCTGTCGCATTTTCCTCGGGAAATCCGACGGGTCGATCTTTTTCTTCATAAAAGCGCCGTGGTATCGCTCGATATTAATTACACTCGACAAGCGGCGGCGGCGGCAAGGACGCCTTAAATTTTG